ATGGCCTATTCCAGGCGGGAGATAATTGAAAAAGGCAAGTAGTAATGATATAGTAATTGAAAAAAAAGGAATTGTAATCAAATGTTAGTTATTACACTTTCAAAGTAATTAAGAGTTATTTATAATTGACCATTTTTTCAATTACTTGAATTACTTTATATATAATTTATATACATGATGTAGCCAGGACAATTTTACCTGCATCCTAGAATACATAAAGAAGGCATGCCAGGTCGTCCTATTGTTAGCGCAATTGGAAACCCCACGGAGAAAATTTCTGAATATACATTGATTTACATCTCCCTCCACATTGTGTTCCAGATTATACCCTTCTCGTGACTATGAACGTTACATCTCTGTACACCAACATTCCGCACGATGAGGGTATCGAGGCCTGTAGAGAAGTCTGGAACAGTAGATCAATACAAACTCCTTCCACTGAGTCCCTTGTCAAGCTCCTTGAACATGTTTTCAAGTATAACAATTTCATCTATACTACTATATTAAAATAATAGACTCGAATTTTTGGCCTTTAATACCGATAAATCGGAAGAGTACTGTCTTTTGTTTTATATATTTTAAACATAATTGGTACTTGAAGATTACCAATTTGTTTTTATTTTTTCTCAATTAGCCTTCGCTAATTAATAATCAACGAAAATTCCACAAAAAAATCCGGAAATCATCTTGATTTTTTGGATTTTACAATCTTGCGCGCGCGCATTACATTCACGCTAAATCACGGTGTTCAAATCAGAGAAGACAAAAGAAGTACTAAGTAGATATATATTTGTTATTTTATAATTTCTCTAATAAGAAATAAGAAATCATAAATATATATGAACAGAATATATAGCAAATTTCCAATGAAAATTTACACGTATTTGTATTATCAGGGGCGTAGCTGCCTATACGCAAATACGCAAGTGCGTACACATCATTTTCAAAAAAAAAAAAAAAGAAAAGAAAAAGAAAAAAAGAAAAAAAAAGGAGAGAGGGGGAGTATTCGAAGAAAAAATCTCCTTTCTGTACCATCCAACAAATATCTGTGTTTGTGTCATACTGTTTCGATTTGAATTTTATCACAATTATATAATAAAATTTGAATTCCTTTATTGAATCATTGCCAAATCCAAATAAATCATCCATTAATTTTTAATTGTTCTTTAATACACTGATAATACTTTTTTTAAAGATCTTTTAGAAATTAAATTTCTAACACATCGTTGAATGCTCTGATCTACTTGTATACTAGTATGATTTATATTACGATATTTTTTGTTAATAATTAACTTTTAGTATACGTGTTTTTGAACGTTAAAAAAGAGTATATGATACCAATATATCGGTTAAATATTAAGCCTAACTTCATGTACAATAAGATTTCAAGGAAGTATTAATTTTGCGTTAAAACAATAAATATTAATATAATGTCTTTTATTTTCTAAACAAAAGCTAAATGACAATATTTATATTTTGCAAGAAAATGAATGAAATATTTGGTAAAACTCGGAGCTTCTGGGCCCTCACCAGCAGGCACGTAGTATAGGGGGGCAGGGGGTGGCCTGCCCCTACTTATTTCCATACCTAACCTATTACTATTGAAAATGTTTATTGAAAGGGTGGTCCCCCCTTTTTGTTGTAGCATAGTTAAATCATGGCAATTTGGTAATGTATTAATAAAATTTTGATTTCTGAAAGTTGGACCCCCCCCCTTCCGTTCTCTGCGTACACTTTATTTCCATGCTGGCTACGCGCCTGATTATCTTTCTGAGTTTACCCATACAAATGTGATATTGTGGCCACGTGGGTAATCATTCGCCATCTCGGAGACACATTTATTATATGTTATTTATGTCTCTGGCCATCTCAACGGGGGCAAAAAGCTCATGATCGTAGGAGCAATGTTATTATAACTACCCGATTTTATTTCATCCTTCCTTTCTTTTATGCTCTTTTGAGGGGAAGGGGGGGGGGGTTACAACTCCAGCTTGAATCACATCTTAGTGAAGTAGGCATTCTTTTTCCGCATAAAATTACAATAACATTATTTTCATTTCTTAACTTTGAAATAAATCGAAGTAATTAAATAACGTCAATATAACCGATATTTTCAATTTAAAATGTGTCTAAATGATTGCAACTTGAATTTGTTCGCCATGTTTACTATTACATGTACCTTCACTGCTGAAATTTATAACGCGGTAAATATGAAACATAAACTAAGGGCAAAGAAATATTTGATTCCATGCAAAAAATTCACATTATATTTCTTAGAAGTGTAGTGAAATCAATAGCATTATTGTAGGTTTATAGCTTTGTTATGTAAATACATGTAATGACCTCTGACCCTGGTCTGTCAACAATACGGTGAACACCCCCTGCAATGCTTGCGCCGTGCATTTCCCACGTGAACCATCAAAGAAAGCATTTTATTGTTTATATTTAAATTCACCTCTAAAAATTTCTTTAACTTTCAAAAAAGTGGGTGAAATATGTA